TCCAGGACTCAGGACCTAGTAGTACCTCTCTGACTTCATCTCTAATTCCTCTACCCCTTGCTCTCTCCATTCTAGACCAATTGGCCTGTTTGCTATTCATTGAACATATGATCTGCACCTACCTGAGGGCCTTTAGACAAGCCACTACTCATATACACTTAAGGTCAACAACTTCATCTCCTTCCAGGACTTGTTCAAGCCACTTTCTTAGGGGCCCTAACCATCCCAATTAAACATTACAAGAAACAGACTTTAACTATAGAAAACAAACTGATGGTTACCAGAGGAAAGGTGGGTGTGGGATGGGTTAAATTAAATGATGGGATTAAGGAGTGCACTTGTGATGAGCACCAGCTATTGGTCCCTGAGACCAACCTATTGTTAATATAGCACTACATCTTCTTTAAGTCCTGGTTTTCTAAGGGGTTTTTTTGGCAATTCAGTTTCATATGGGACTGAAATTGGATATTACATACTGAGATTGAATCTATTTACCCAATTTAAACAAATTATGTGCAGCTATTTGAAGTACTATAAATACAGTATTGAAAAGTCTTTAGGTGCATGATTATGCCTTATTATTGTATAAATCTTTAAAGTTCTAGATTCATTTGGGACAATTTAACTTGTCAGGTAGTTTATGGATTGTTCTGCATGTAGTGTAAGTGCAAGAGAATTTTAAATACGTAATGTAGTATAATTTTGGTTCTGTTGAAAGGCAAATCAGAATTAATCATCTTGCTATAGTCAACAAGTAAAAGGAGGGCAAACCTTTAGTGTAGTAGCAAATTAGTGCAATATTTTAGAATATCAAGTTGTCTTTTTTATTTCTTTTGAAAGACCACTCTATGTCTTTGGGCTAATTTCTGCAGCTTCAAATATTAGCTTCTTTTGAGTTATATTATTTTATTTTTGGATGTTTCCACCCCCATGAATGGTCTTCCTCCATGCTTTTAATTACATTGAACCAAGACAGACCTGGTGAGGATGCTAGCTTAAGGGCTAGTGTCAATGTAGGGGACACACAGAGTACCTGGAGTCAGACTCAGTCCAAGAGCAGCTATTGATTACTGTTGAGAAAGAAATCAATGATCAATATTAAGAGGAAATAGCAGTTATGAGCTTAGAGGGGTGAATGTGAAGTCATAACTATAGAGCAAGATAAGATCAGAAGACAAAGTATCAGAAAAATGTCTGAAAAGTAAGGACAAGGTATGGGAACACAGGAGAAAATGTTATTCACCATAAATAATCCAAGATTTTCCCCAGGAGAATTACATTCTCACTGGACTCCTCTGTGTTCTTGTCATCAAGGACAAGGAGGGAAAAAGAAGCAGTACAAAGTTGATGAGACCTCTCGCCATTGTAGAGAAGCCCTCTGCAGCTGTTAGGCAAAACAGATAACTTAAAGGCTACCTTCCATGGAGAAGTAAGGAAAGTAAGGAGAAAAATCAGAGGCTCTCAAGCAACAGAGATATGAGAGGAGGGGTTATAGATATGATTCCCTTCAGTATTTTTTAATTGATATAAGTTTTCAAGCCCCATTTCGGATGTGAGATGATAAAAGTTGTAATCTGTCAAAGGGAATATTCAAAAGTATATTTATTGTTCTATGACACTTGTAATTTAACTATGAAAATGATATGTCTACATAAAAAGTGAAGATCACTTGCTGACTATCTAAATATTCCCACTTTCTAGTTTCTTGCCTTTTTTTTTTAAATTTTTTATTTTATTTTTTTAAATATTTTTATTTATTTCTAGGAGAGAGAGAGAGAGACAGCGTGAGCAGGGGAGGGTCAGAGAGAGAGGGGGTCACAGACTGAAACAGGTTCCAGGCTCTTAGCTGGCAGTCAGCACAGAGCTCGATGTGGGGCTCGAATCCACGAACCGCGAGATCATGACCTAAGCGAAAGTCGGACGCTTAACCGACTAAGCCACCCAGGTGCCCCCCCCCTTTTTTTTTTTTTAAATTTTTAATGATTTACTTATATCTGAGAGAGAGACAGCATGAGCAGGGGAGGGTCAGAGAGAGGGAGACACAGAATCTGAAACAACTCCAGGCTATGAGCTGGCAGTCAGCACAGAGCCTGACGTGGGGCTCGAACCCACGAACTGTGAGATCATGACCTGACCGAAGTCGGACGCTTAACCGACTGAGCCACCCAGGCGCCCGTTTCTTGCCTTTTCTACACACATTCTTTAAGAACACTTTCTCCAAAATTGTATCCAGTATCATTGGCTCAGGAACTCTGCATAAATCAATCCTATGTCCACAAGACTAGCATCATACACCCAGTTTGTCTTATATCAAATGTACTTATGACCTCCATAAAAATGTATTTATTCAATAACTGAGTGTCTGTTATGTGCAAGTACTGTTCTAGGTATAGGGAAACTGGAGTAGACAAAACATTGCCTTTATCCTCATTGAACTTGCATCACAATGTCATAAACTTTTATACCCTGTCTTCCTACTAGGAGAAAATTTATTGTTTTTCATCTCTCCCCTACAGTGCATTTCTTAAACTTACTTGCCCATCAGTCTGTGGATAAGTGCAGCCTCTTCCATCCCATGAATCAGAACTTGGGGGAAAGATTGAGAAATTTATCTTTTTAACAAGCTCTCTTGGGGCTTTATATGTAATGATAGCATGGATAATATGGGGGAACCACTGCCCTCTTCATAGCATACTATCTGAGGAACTGGTGATTTTCACTGGACTATATCTGTGGGACCCTTTTGATTGCCATGACTAACATTCTTAGAGAATGTGAAAGCTCTCTGGGGTTGTCCACAGCCAATTCACCTAACAAAGACTAACAAGGCAAACTTTTTCAGGTATACTATTAATCTTTAAACAAAGTGATTTTCTCTATGGGACAGATGTTACCATATTATACTTTAGGGAAGAAAAGAATCAAACATCAATTACTAGTTGTGATCCATAGAACTAAAAGATTCATTTCAAAGATAAAGTTGAAATGATGGAGACTTAGGAAGTTCTCTATTAAAAGAAGGTAAAACTGAGTGAATCCTAGAAATCCATTGTGAACAATATAAATACGTTCATCAAAGAGGCTCTTTGTGAGTTAATGATAGTATAGTCAATATTCAATACTAAACAATATGAAAATAAAGTTGATATTCCAATAACACCCAACACAGGTTTATCATGTCCACACACTATTCTAAGCATTTTATGGATATTAAGCTGACAATTCTCTAACCTTCTACGGAATGTTTCTTTGTCATGATAATTATTTTGTAGAAGAGAAAATGAGGCATACAGAAGATAAGTAGCCTATAATGGCCAGGATTTGATCCTAGGTGCAAAAATCCATCCCCTTAATCACTAGACTAAACTGCTTCTCATTATATTTTATAATACTTCTCCAAAGAATCATACCAAAGAAGTTTATACAAAGCTATTCTAGGAATTGAGAATTTTATTATTTTATTTCAATTCATTTTGTTTTATTTTATTTATTTTTTATTACAGCTTCCTTGCCCCAGAGTCGTAATCAGCCTGATTTTCATTTGACTCATTTTAAGATGAAGATAACACTGTTGTTGAAGCAAGATCATCTATTAGTTACAGCGTTCAATTATAAAAGAGATACAGTTTTGGATCTCAGCTCTGCCACTTACTTGCTTTATGAATTTCAGTAAGTTCCCTCTCCAAGTCTCAGTTTCCTCATCTTTAAAATGAAGGTTATAATGGGACCTACATCATAATATTGTTTAAAGATACAACAAGATAGGTCATTTATAACAACTTAGGAAGTGTTCCATAAATACTATTAGTACAATAAATAGCAGCAGCATCAGTAAACTGAACCAAGTGATCTCTTGATTCTTCTACCTGCGCTAAAAATGGTTCTCTTCTAATTACAAATGATAGCATCCAAAACAATGAATTCAGCCGTAAGTCATTAAACCAATTATTTCTTTTGTAGGAAAACCAGAAAGGCTATTGGACACATTAATTTATATGTCATTAGTTATCGTCTCTATTCTAAAATGTGTTCTAGCATCCTGACACACCTTGCATAATACAATCACTGTGACTCCCAGAGGTCAAATGGGCAGGCAGTTAACACTTCTCTGTGAAAAGCTCAATAACTCATTTTATAAATTTCAGCTCAAAGCCTACGTTGAGGTTAAGAAAAATTGACATTCGGTCTGTGAACTTAATGTCAAGCTCCAGAAAAACTCTAGGCAGTACATGCTTAGCGATTAAGTGGACGCAGACAATAAAGACATTGCCAAATTGTAAAACAAGACTCGGAAATTACAGAAAATGTTGCTAGTTATTGATTACGGTGACCATTCAGTTCCCATTGAGTCACCCAAAAGAATCATTCATTTTCCAGCAGAGAGCCTGCTCATTTGCAAGATAAAAGAGAGGCATTTCTGCACATGCCCATAATGTTCTTCACCACTGGGGGCAGCTTTACATAAGACTGCATTCACTGAAACCAAAGCAACAGTCCGAGCAGCTTTCAGAATGACAGTCTGCAGAAGTGAGCTGAGCGTGTGTGCGGTACGGGGCTCTCCTGCCTCCTGGGCTCCAACGCAGCTCTGTGGCTGAAGTGGGTGCTCACCACCAGAAATGCTGGGCTATGGAATACAGATGTGGCAGCTCAGGTAGCCCCACGTTGCCGGGAGGAATACATCATGCTTTTCGATAAGAAGAAATTGTAGAAGCCAGTTTTTTTTTTTAACGACCCCCCCCAAAAACTGTAAAGATGCAAAAACGTAATATCCACGAAGATCCTATTACCTAGGAAGATTTTGATGTTTTGCTACAAATGCGGTGTTGGAATTTATTTGTTCTTGGAGTGTTCTGCGTGGCTGGCAAAGAATAATGTTCCAAAATCGGTCCATCTCCCAAGGGGTCCAATTTTTCTTCCTGGGTGTCAGCGAGCCCTGACTCACTACAGTGCAGCTGACAGGGGCTGTCATGCAAGTGGCCCCTTAAGCCAAAGCAAAAGACCTAAGGACGACCTTTGAACAATACAAAGGATGGGTATGTTCTGTCATTTTTCTTCTTTCCTTCTTAAAAAAGAAAAACAAAAACAAAAACAAAAACAAACCCTTTAGTCTGTGTTGTAATTCTGCCTTAATTATTTTAGAGATTACTTTTCTATCCTTAGACTATAAATTCAATTGCTTAGTGGACAGGTTTCCTTGCTTAACTATTAAAAAAAAAAACAAACCCTAAAAACAATTCTCTTTACATGTCAAGAAGGTGATATTTGATATTAAATGTTGTTATCTAGATTTAAATTTTTAAAAAAGAAAGTACATGCCTTTTTTTGCTTGCTTAAAAATAAATGAATTCCTTTTTGGGGGGATAACTTTTCTAAGTTGTTTTTATTTCCAGGTTTCAATGTAATTAGGCTACTGAGCGGATCAGCTGTAGCACTGGTTATAGCCCCCACTGTGTTACTGACAATGCTTTCTTCTGCCGAACGAGGATGCCCTAAGGGCTGTAGGTGTGAAGGCAAAATGGTATATTGTGAATCTCAGAAATTACAGGAGATACCCTCAAGTATATCTGCTGGTTGCTTAGGTTTGTCCCTTCGCTATAACAGCCTTCAAAAACTTAAGTATAATCAATTTAAAGGGCTCAACCAGCTCACCTGGCTGTACCTTGACCATAACCATATCAGCAATATTGATGAGAATGCTTTTAATGGAATACGCAGACTCAAAGAGTTGATTCTGAGTTCCAACAGAATCTCCTATTTTCTCAACAATACCTTCAGACCGGTGACAAATTTACGGAACTTGGATCTGTCCTATAATCAGCTGCATTCTCTGGGATCTGAACAGTTTCGGGGCTTGCGGAAGCTGCTGAGTTTACATTTACGGTCTAACTCCCTGAGAACCATCCCCGTGCGAATTTTCCAAGACTGCCGCAATCTGGAACTTTTGGACCTGGGGTATAACCGGATCCGAAGTTTAGCCAGGAATGTCTTTGCTGGCATGATCAGACTCAAAGAACTTCACCTGGAGCACAATCAATTTTCTAAGCTCAACCTGGCCCTTTTTCCAAGGTTGGTGAGCCTTCAGAACCTTTACTTGCAGTGGAATAAAATCAGTGTCATAGGACAGACCATGTCCTGGACCTGGAGCTCGTTACAAAGGCTTGATTTGTCAGGCAATGAGATTGAAGCTTTTAGTGGACCTAGTGTTTTCCAGTGTGTCCCAAATCTGCAGCGCCTCAACCTGGATTCCAATAAGCTCACATTTATTGGTCAAGAGATTTTGGATTCTTGGATATCTCTCAATGACATCAGTCTTGCTGGGAATATATGGGAATGCAGCAGAAATATTTGTTCCCTGGTAAATTGGCTGAAAAGTTTTAAAGGTCTGAGGGAGAATACAATTATCTGTGCCAGTCCCAAAGAGCTGCAAGGAGTAAATGTGATCGATGCAGTGAAGAACTACAGCATCTGTGGCAAAAGTACCACGGAGAGGTTTGATCTGGCAAGGGCTCTCCCAAAGCCGACATTTAAGCCTAAACTCCCCAGGCCGAAGCATGAGAGCAAACCCCCTCTGCCCCCCACGGTGGGAGCCACGGAGCCTGGCCCAGAGACTGATGCTGACACCGAGCACATCTCTTTCCATAAAATCATCGCAGGGAGCGTGGCCCTATTCCTGTCCGTGCTCGTCATCCTGCTCGTTATCTACGTGTCATGGAAGCGGTACCCTGCGAGCATGAAGCAGCTGCAGCAGCGCTCCCTCATGCGAAGGCACAGAAAAAAGAAAAGACAGTCCCTAAAGCAAATGACTCCCAGCACCCAGGAATTTTATGTAGATTATAAACCCACCAACACGGAGACCAGCGAGATGCTGCTGAATGGGACGGGACCCTGCACCTATAACAAATCAGGCTCCAGGGAGTGTGAGGTATGAACCATTGTGATAAAAGCGCTCTTAAAAGCTGGGAAATAAGTGGTGCTTTATTGAACTCTGGTGACTATAAAGGGAACGTGGTGCCCCCTCTCCTTCCCTCTCCCTCCTGCTTTGCTGGCAAGGTCCTTCCCGGTCAGTTTTAGTACACTCATAATACTGGTCATTTTCCTCTGGTACATAATCAACCCACTGAAATTGAAATACCACAATCAATGCAAAGCTCAAACTCTCATTTAATAGAATGCCTATTGTATAAGACTCTTGACTGATTGCATTAATATCTCCCTTGTTTTAAGATAAAACTTTTTTTCATAAGTAGCCCCCGACATGTGCTCTTATTTCTCTTCGGGTAGGACCAAATCTACAGTTCTAGAAGGTTTGCAGTTCACTGACAAATCAAGGAAAAAGTGAATGATCCCAGGTACTTGAAGCTTGAACTGATTCTAGGAGAAGGCTTAATTACAGGAACATTTAGAGACAACCCTTAAAACACTGACTTAAAAAGAAAATTGCAGGAAACTATCAAAAAATGGTGCTGGGTTAAAGAAGCACCATGGGCAGTTTCCAGAGGTGTTTGAATTACAATAAAACAAGCCTAGGGGAAAGTGTTGAAGGGTTAAAATGCTGCAAATAGACAACTGAAAAATGTGAGGAGATGGTAAAAATACAAAGTTTTAGACTTGAAGCCTTATCTCTGAAATCCATCCTTGTAAAAATCGAACCAGAGGCTTCACTGTCAATTTCTCTTAGCCTTTATTTAGCCTAAATAAAAAAAAAATTAAATTAAATAACCAAGAAGCAAATTTGAGGAGGCAGATTTCTCTACTGTTCCTCACCTTAGGGAGTTTTCAGAGATGAGGCTTGCAAATAGGAAGGCAGCTTGCTATTTCTGTGTGGCTGGGAGCTTACCAAAATTTCTTTCCAGTTCTTTCAAGGACTCTGATGTAGTGAGTGGAATCTTTAGTTCTGTCTGTTCTTCTGTCTGGTTGTGTTCCATTATGTGCCTGCACACACTAGACCCCTAATGACTGATGCTTCATTCAGAGGCGTAAGAGAGAACACATTCCAAGACATGCCTTCCACCAAAAGCTTCATTGAAAAGAATGATTTTGATAATGCCTGAATAAAGGTACAAAATAAATCTTAGAGGAAGAAAGACTGACCAACCCTATGGCAGTTGTCTTTTGCTTTTCTATTGTTGACATTACAGTGTCCCTGTGTTCATCTATATTGTTAACTCATCCATCAGTATGAATCTGTATGGACCCTGCTGGCAATCTGCAAATTGCATGCGTGTTTTTATGTCGTAGGTGAAAGTTTATTGACTGCAGCACAAATATCATGCCTTCTGTATTTAAATAACTTTGACCACAGTTCATTAAGATTTTAGAAATATGTCTTTGGTCTGTATTTGTATCCTTTCATCCTCCAAAATGAACAATCCTATTATAGGAGCAAAAATTGGGAATTGCAACATTGATTTTGCTTCATTTAATTTGGCTTGCCAAGCCCCACATCTTTAACCACGTCCCTGTTCTTTCAAAACAAAATCACTGCAGCAAAAAAAAAAAAAAAAAAGTGGATGGCTATTTTTTAACCAGCTTTTTTATATAGTTTGAAGGTTTTTCATATGCTGAGAAGAAAAATCTAGGCAAGTCACCATGAGATATAATTGCAAGGAAGCCAGATTATTAAAAATCATACTTTTAAAAGCAATAAAGGAAAGGGGACATTTAAAGTGGATTTCTCAAGGTCCTCTGATTTTGATTAAAACTTAAAAGAGATGCCAGTTCAGAAAAGCATCATAGCTACAATATATCTACCCATGAATAATTGTTGAATGTATATTTATTAATGGTAAATAGTCACAGATTCCCAATTAATAATGCAGATACTTCCTTACAGTACTATGAACTGGATGACTGAGCCTACTGTGATGTTTTTCACTGAAGTTGTAATTTTGCATTTTTCATAAAATGTCAGTAAATACATACTCCATTTCAAAAAGAAAATTTCTTTGATCAGTCTCATTTTTATCTGTACTAAAGATGATTGTATTAATTAAATGCAGTGTTAAAGTGAAAAAGCCCATTTCTATTCTTTGACTTGACCTTCTGCCTCATTTGTCATGGATACCAAATAAATTTAGGGAAGGCATATTTGTACTTATATTTCAGAATTCTTGCAATTCTCACTGCTGTGATCCTACTGGTATATAAAAAAATATGTCTGTTGTATTGAAAGTGTTTCTAAAATTCATAGCCACTTCATGTGTAAGATTAAATAAATGACCAACATTTTGAAGGCTGATCATTTTTTAATGCCTAACTTTATTTATAAATTTAATAATAATAATAGTACTAAAATAAAATCCCTTAGATTTTAAAAGTTATTTTGATTCAAGGCATGAAATATTTCTTAAAAAGAGCCCCCCCAACTTTGGGAATGGAGCTTCTCTAGTTCTCAGGATTTTCTGATCACAAATACATAACTCTTGTAGGCTAGACAATAACTAGTTCACCACTATAAATTTAACAAAGCCAACTTGGTCAATACTCTTCTGTCCAAAAGTTGTTCTTACCCCTACCACATGGCACTTTCAGGACTATGTACTGTAAGTCTATTTTCATTAAGTATCTCAAACTCACTGTATATTAGAGAAATATAATTGGTATTCCATTTTCTATTCCAAATTTACATGAAGTATCTGACTTCCCTCAAAGGTGACAACTGTTAAATAAACAACCTGACATATTGAACTTCATAACACCGATGCGTCGATGCAGAATGGATTCAGTCAGTACTTTGAATGCTTTACCAGAGAGAGAAGAAATGCAGTTTAGTCACTGAACTGCATGGGTTTCCTGCCCCCCCCCCATTTTTATGAGCCCCGGTACACATGCTGCTACTGCAGCATGGCTTTAATAGTCCCAGTGCCACAGTCTTCTAAGCAATACTTTATGCAAGATATATTCCTTTTAAATGAGTTTATATTTTCCAAGAATGTTGACACTACAGTTTTTCAAAAAATTTAAAGCATTTTTTACTTGATTTGGTGAGTCAACTACCTAAGGAGACAGGCAATAAACTGTATTTCTGTGGAGCAGCAGTGACCTCCAGTGGCTGCTTGAACTAATCACAGTTATTCCTACACCTATTCAGCTTTTCTAATCCTGAATCCTTACATAAACATGATTTAAAACATATATTTTTTGATCTGTGGATCAGATTTGGATTTTATTTAATTCATCTCTCTGGTTAAATATAGTGTAATTTTTTAAGTTATATTTTCCATATTGACTTATTTAGTAATTTGCCCAGAGGCCATAGAACTGATACTGAGGGCTAGAAATGGTTCCGTACATGAAGAGCAAGTAATAATGTCATAAGAATAGATAAGAAAGTCTTTAAAGTATTTACACTCATTGATGTTGGCCATATATTCTGAAATTTTCATTAAATGGGTCAATATTTTCCATAAGCAGGATACTAAAATATAATGTAATTTAGATTCAGAAAGACGAATTTCAATATTAATATTGAAAGCATCAGCATCAGTTATTTACCAGTCAGTAGGAATATCTGAGCTATTGGGTGAGGGAGGCCTCCTCTTTGGCTCTAGAACTCTCCAGTTTCTTGATCATGCCAGTGACCTGTGCTTTGCCCCAGTGCTCTCTCCAACCCTCCCCCTTCTCAGCCAGCTGAACACTGGTTCTATTAGGCTCTCTGACAATGATGTTACAGTCTAAGAGGTGATGATTCATGGATAATGAAATTATGCTCTCCTTCTGGGGAAGGATAATGCAGAGTCAGATTCGTAAATTTGGCAAGGGATATTACGATGTTGTAGGTGCAATGAAATATCCTCGCTTCCCTTGACATTTACCAAGGAAAGAACTTAAATAGTTTATTTAACATGTGGTTTAGACCAGCATCAGAAACGAGCATCCAGCCATGAAGCCTAAGAAAAAATGAGTTCCAGATATGACAAATGAGAATTGAACCATGAGAAATAAAAAACTCAGAAACGGTGCTGTTTCTTCCATTCCCTTTTCCCTGGGTTCTCACTGGTATCTGGATCTGTAGCAAACCCACAGAATTTTTCTATACTTGTACTTTCTTACCTGCCTATGTTAAAAATCAGACATTGTTAGAGGAAACCATGAACATGAACAATAATATCAGTAAATGTGAATTACAAATGTTGTAAGAGAAACAGAATTGATGGAAGTTAAATAGCTTGTATTAAGTGACTCTTGAAAACTAAGAAAAAATAATACATAGGTGAAAGTGAGTTCACCTAATCTAATTATAATAGCTTACAGAATTGGACTCAAATTTTGCTTAGTCTCCAAAGTCATCAGTGATTTTTGCATAGTTGGGTAGAATAAAATAGAAATATTACTGAGAAAAATCTACATAAACATAGTTTACAGTTCTTTTTTATTTGGGGAAAATATCACAGACATGTAAGGTAGAGTATTGGCCTTAGATTCAGGTTTCTCTGACATTTGCTAATCTAATGATTGCAGGCAAATTTCTTAGCTTTTCTGAACTTCAAGTTGCCCATCTATAAAATGGACATGTATTATTGACTTCACATGGCTATTGAAAGAACAAAACTTGAGAAGTACTTGGTTAACTCTAAAATGGCAAATGCTTTTTCTTTTCAATGAGTACTTGTTAAGCTACTCAAGTGTGGTTGCTGGTGTTCTATGTCTGACCTGGGGCAAAAGATATCACTAACCTCTATGTTACAGAAGCCCAAATCCGTTTTACATTAATGTGAATTCTGAGACTTGACAGCAAGTCTAGAATGTAGTTTGTCTTTGACCTTTACTTTCTATAAATCACAGTTTCTTCAACCCTATGTTCTAAGAGTCTAGAAATTTATTAATAATAATCACAATGTACAATAGACATAAAGATACCAACCAGAGAACAGTGAAACAAAAGCTTATCAAAATAAATAAAAATTCTAATTGTGTCCCAGA